GCACACATTCCAGCGCGGGCCGCACCGCCTCCTCCCTCGCTGTCGTGTTCTCCGGCTCAGAGGAGCGAGACCCACACCCACAGCCCCAGCAGAAGCGGCAGCAGCAGCAGCAGCGGCACCGCAGAGAGACGCCCACGCGCAGTGCCGTCGCCGCCGCCAGCCTCCCTCTGCACTGTGCCCGCAGCCTCCTTCGCAAGTGCGGCGGAGGCGTTATTTAGGCCCGGCGCCGGTGCACCGCGCGTCACCGACGCACTCCCCGCAGAATTCCCAGCCGCGTCGGTCGCCGCGGAGCCAGTGCCGGCTGCCCCTGACGGCTCCTTCGACACGCCGCCAGCTGCTGCGGCCTCGCCGTGCGCAGAGCTCGTCGGGCCACTGACGGAGGATGCGGCGGTGCGAGGCACCTCCCCCGGCTCCGGCGCAGTCACGCTGGTCTCCTCCTTTTCCTTCTCCTGCAGAGCGGCAACCTCACTGGCGTTGAAGCAGCGGTTGTACAGCAAGACGTTCTTCACCGTCACGTGGACCTCTGCGTTTACTTCGCCGTACCTGTATTCCCCAACGAGGATGCGCGAGACCCTCTCCGGCGGCCCCCTCCATAGCAGAGTTTCTTCGGGATAAAACACATGCTCAGGCAAAGCAACAAAACCAGCCGGGGGTTTCTCCTCCAAACTCCCCACAAGCTGCCCGTCGACGTATGCCGAGCCCGTGCCGTTTTTCACCGTGAGCACCACTCGGTATGCCCTCCCCTCCTCCCACGTCATTCTTTGTGCATCCGCTTCTGCTCTGAACTCCGTCCTCCAGCGCTTCTGCTCGTCGTACCACAGCCCCAGATACATTCCAGCCTCCGCTGTCCTCACGCCCAGCAGTGGGGTGGCGGTCGGTGGCGCTTCGTTGATGGTCACCATCGCCACAAGCGTCACCTCTTCGCCCACAGAACCGTGTTCTTGGCCACGCTCGTCTCTGCCCACCGGCCACGCAATCGATGCACCACGCCCTGCCAGCGCAAAGCCATCATCGACCTTCGTTGCCCCAGACACCGTGGCGCCCACCCCAAGGTACTCGTCGTTCCAGTGGGTATTGTTGCCATTGTTCGACAAGAACCCAACCAGCCCGTCCGTTGGCATAGCACCGACGCAGGCAGCAGCGGGCTCTGCGGCGCCCTTCGCAGCAGCGGAGGTGGCGGCGGAGCTGCAAAGCTTTGCGACTCTGGCGTCCACGTCCTTCCAAGTTTGCAGCACTGTTTTGATGCGCTGGAGCTGCTGTGGGAGACTCGCAAAAACAAGACTTTGTGAGCTTCCACTCTCACCCCCTTTCGCGTAGAGGGCAAACAACTCATCTCTTGTGTACAGGAGCGAGCTGAAGGGGGCGTGGCCCGCCTCATCCGCAGATATTGGCCCAACATCGTGTGTCCGGGCACCGTCGGAGAGACACAGGTGGAGTACGTGGTGCCTTTTGCCCCCAACACTATGGACTGACATTACCGTGGTGTACAGCAGCACACTCCTGCCCGCGATGGTTGCAGTGATGAGGGCGGCAGAAGGGTCGAGGAGAGGCAATGCGTAGGCGTCGCCCAACAGGCGTGCGAAGGGCCCGGCAGCCTCGTTCCACGTCTTCCCCTCGTCACCGGATTCGAAGACCCTGCGCCGCCACGGAGAAGATCCGGAGGTGGCCATGAAGAGTTTCCCCTCCCACTCGAGAAGCGTGGCAGAGTTACAGTCCTCAGCAACCACAGGCGCCGCAGGAAGCTTCCAGCTGCTCCCATTGTCCTCGGAGCGCATGACGGTGCATGCACGCCTGCCTGTTCCGTCGGTAGTGAATCCCGCAAGAGGGAAAAGAACCGTCGCGTCCCCAACCGCGACGCCTCTGGACATACTCGCGGGCTGCAGCACTTCCCAAGACTGCTGCTGCATCTGTCCGGCAAGCACGGAATCCAACAGCCGGGGTTCCCCCCACGAGACTCGTCCCTCTCCCCGTTCGCCCGTGGACCCCTGAACTTCACCAACAATCAACGCAAGTCCCCACCGAATATTTTCACGCTGCGGAGAAGTGCCGGTCATCGTCACTGTGGGCACAAGCAGATGTATTTTATTGCCCTTCCCCACAGCCTTGGGGCCAAGCGGTGATACAAGGTAGCCCTCTGCTTCCGGTCGCTTCGTCACAAGCTGCGTCTTCCACTCCGTTCCGTCCCATGCAGCGTCTTCGCTCAACTTTTCATTTGCCCCGTACGCACTGTACTTGGCCCACATTTCAAAACCCACGTCGCTGTCACCGCTGCCGTGTGCGCCGACGGCAAGCGCAACCAGCACCCCATTCACCTCAAGAAGGGAGTAGCTGTAGAAAGAGGAGACACTTTCATAACGAGTGCCAATTTCGCTCTCTTCTCCAGAAGAAAACACTGGAGATTCCCCTGGTTTGAAGAGCTCCACCTCCTTCGACGCCTCCTGCGTCCCCGCAGCGCTGGCCCCAGCCCCACTGCCGCCGCAGCACACCAACAAAAAGAACAGCAGCACCGCTGAGGAAAGCCAGTGCAGGCACATGTCGTGCCGTTGCTCACTCTCACCCTCTTCTTTCCCTCCCAGCGGTGGGTCC